CCCTAAAATCACGCATAGTTTGTATCACACCTATACATATAGGCATATATTAGCGGGAAAAGTGAATGTCAACGTGGTGCACGAGGTTGTCCGGATGTCATAACTGCTCAATTCCGTGGATGATGTGAGAAAGGATGCAAGAGAGAGAAAGAGAGAGGAAAAGCAAATGAGCATTGTTGCTAGTCCGGAATGATCGAAATGAAAAAACTACTCAATGCAAGTTACGCCATAATTGATTGTATCAAAACAGTGTTTTAAACGAAGAAAAACGTCTGAGTACCGTGAGGATGGGGATGGGTAGTAAGCTGTGAGGAACATCGGGCACAGTGGAATTCTGCTTTTGTACGAAAACCTCTGAGTTGGATACGGACGGAATGGATGGTGGTGATTATGATGATGATCTGTAGGAATTGATAATACATGGTGAGGTGAACACATGTCAGACTTGTCTACATAGTTTAGGATAATACGCCAGACGGGGACGTTCATTCTAATCACAACAGCGTTTTCTCTCCCCCTCTGGTTCTTCTAGAGTGACACATTCATTCTCAGCAAATTGCTTACGAAACATAGTGTTGTCCAATCCTCGTCACCATTAAGAAAGCGAAATTGGTTTTGCTATTAGTGAAATTCTTCTCACTGATGATGAAGAGTAAAACTCACCCAAAACCGATGTTAACAATCGATGTAGTCATAGCCCAATCCCCTACAACGATGTGTTCTAGAGCTGAGACAAAAAACGACTGTCGATCAAAGTATCATGCCTAAGAACAGGATGAGTCAAACTACAACCCACTGAAAAAAATATTCCGTACTGATGTACAAGACTGAAGACATACGTGCCAAATGACAATTGGGGCCTGTGAACAAATGCAGATCGACTGTTATAGACCTGCTGCCTCTCAACAATGGCTGCCGACATTGCTGAGATATCCACGTAGTTACTATTGGGATTTTACATCAAGTTAATTTATGAAAGAGATTATATATGTCACAAAGACAGCCTTCTTCTGATCGATACTTTCACTCGAATGGAACAGCACCACTTATTTTTGTTTTTCAATGAACGGTGTTGTGTGGCCTCAAGCATTTGTTGGAGAACTCTTGTCTACATTGCTCTTATTGAACGCGAAATATCAATGCTCAATGTACACACACATGCGCCCATACAGACATACAAACAAACACACATGACATGAATGTTCCTCATATCGGACCTTGATTACATTGACCAATCAGGCTGCACCACGTGTTTGCTGGCTATTGATTGGCTGAATGCTGATGACTTGTACAACCAGTACCGGATGATGACATGCTTTTGCCATAGAACGTGAATTAAGATACTTCCAGTTTGTACCTAATTAAAAGAATTTTTTTCATGTGAGTAATGGAGGATTTGATTCAATTTCAAAGGTGAAATTCGTCGTGTACATAGTAAATGGAGCGTGAACTGAAACGTTAGGGAGCACCGGATAGCTGTTTCGACCTGGTTAGGTCTCATCAGCAGTGCGAATCCATCAACCCGGGACCTCGAAGGTAGAACGCAAACATGCTACCCACTTGGCCACTGGGCAACCGATCAGGCCGTTCATCCTTTTAATAATTTAAGCTGACTATCCTTCGGACTTCAACTTCACGCACAATCCTCAGTTAACCGTTTCAACCATACACTCGGAAGCACTAGACTCGAGCTTCGCTCTTATTAGAGCTCATCAGTAGTGCATATCCACCGTCCTGTACGGGATTTGAACTCCGAACCCATCGCATGGAAGGCGTGTGCGTTACCGCTGCACCAACCACCTCATGCCATGGCTGAACCGAATTGCCAATTCATGTTTATTCAGGTGTCGTCTTCAGTGATAGTCAGTTCAGAGTGCCCCGACAGCAACGAAGATAGAAACAGAGGACATACTGTTAACTCCAATCGTCATTTTCCATTTACACGATATAGCACAACCTATCTTTGCGAGCTTGTCACAGGTTTTACGAGTTTTATTGAATACAAAGGACGGTAGCAAATCTGTTCCTTGATCTGCCCTCAGAAATATCATCAGTGCAATCCACTAAATTCTTCAAGATGGCTATTACACTTTCATAGACAAAGCAAAACCCTCTGACGGTGTCACGTAAATGTATTTATGCTCGGTAGCTGTAAACTTCCGGTTCGGTAACTGTAGAAACCGAGTGAGAAGTCGTTGTTATGTAACTGTAATGCAAAACTGTTGGCAATACGTGAGGCGTTGCCAATTAGATTACATAATCCCTTTCTGTGTGCCAAAGTTATTGATCAAAATCAGTTCACTTGCCATGGATTTGACTTATGCTTTTAATTCTAATAGCCCTGTCTAATTGTACATGTCCGTTCACTTGGGTATACAAATCCAATGTGCTATAAATGAGCTTGCTCGTTTTACGTCAGCGAGTGAGAAGATCACAAGAAATGTTATTATCTCGAGATATATGTCTTCTTTCGGTCTTGGTACGATCGGTAAAGAGGACCCAGTGTTTCAGAAACCATGTAGTATGGAATAAGTGAAATATCTACCATGAGATGTACTAGTACATTGACTTCTTCATTTCCCAAGCTCCCGTCGTTCTGATAAAAAGTGTAAAACACATTGTCTGTAGGCAGCCGATCATTCATTCGTCTTGGTCTTTGGCCTTGCATATCGATCCGATCGATACATTCGACCTGGTCATTATTGGTCGACCTCAGTCCCGCTGGTATTAGTCATAACCCTAGTGACCGTGTGGGGCAACACGTGAATCACGAAGTATAAGTGCATCGCTCGAACAGTTCAGTGGTCGTAACTTTACTCTAGTCAATAAGCAATAGTAAGATCGCCTAATTACGTACCCTAAACGTGTTGTTGATTTTCAGTAGATATATCTCCTGAAGTGCGTCAGTGCAGTCGAATTCGTGCGATTGATATAATATTTGTAAACAGTTCTCTTCGAAATACCAAGTGATTTTGCTACAGGGCTCTGAGTTGCACCTGGTGGATTCGGCATCCACTACAGAGTCTGAAAGATAGACGTTTTCGCATTGTCCCATCAGGTGACACCGGCTTGAACTGCTGATATTTGTGTGCCTTCCTCTCAGGGGTTATCTAATCGTCCGAATATACCGTTGTAAGAAATCAAAGAGTATCCAATCAGTGAACAGTGTTATGTGTGCATCACGTTAGGTGAAACGTCAGTGATTGAGTTCGACAGTGCAAATTGGTTACGGAACAACCCGATCATCTGTCAACGACCAACGAGTATGAGGACGGGCGACCCACTGAGGGCCTGACGTCGCATAGTCAGGACCTACGTTATCAAATACACGGTTGTTTGGGTTTGCTAAAAAGAGGGGAACATATCGGAAAGTGAAACTTCTCATGAATGCGACATGACAGGAGACTGACTGTCATTGATACTGGTTTTGTTCATTTCATCTCTAGTACGCAGCGCACTGAAATCAAATAGCCGTGAACAGATTCCCTGTAAATTAATCCAATGAAGGGAGAAACAATAGCACCACGCAAAGGAGTTCGGGTATGGGGTGCGATGGGTGAGAGCGCGAACAGTACGTCATTTCTTCGCGACATACCTGGTCCACGTGCAGTGGCATCATCAGACGGAGGTTTGTGTGAGACAGACGAATCGGAGTGCAGGTCGTTTGGTAATGACCAAAGTGTCTTGTCTAAATCTGGCCAATCGGCCGTGTTGGCTGCGACACCCGAGGTTGGACCGATTTTTGACAATCCGGACACCACTTGATTCAATCCAACCGGTTGGATCCAACGAGATTGCGAGCACAACGAGACTGTACTGGCGCGATCCAAATTACCGTTGGAGGAGGGATTCTGTGTGCGATTTAACGATTGAAGTTCACATCAGTCGCAGATTGCAGTAGGCGGACGGAGACGAGGAATTAGAGAAAACAAATAGGATGAAGGGGATATGAGTCGAAGGAGGAAAATGTTTGTGTGCGTCGGTTAAAAGAGATTTGGACGGTACAAGTTGAGACCGGAAATACCTCTATTACTTTTGGTTAGTCTGGATCAGATTGTCCCGGGTGGGTTGAAAACCAGTGAAGCGAATTTCGGATCTATGATTGGAAAACAAAAGTGTAGATGATGCTTGAACATATGATTGACATGGAAACCCCTTGGGAAATGGACAGTTCCGCCCGAGATAGCATTAAACAAGACCTGAACTAACCAATCATTGCGTGTGTATGTGTGACAGATTTTGAAAACGCTGGTACACTGCAAACGGCCCCAATGACTGATGTGTGTAAAAACAACCCCAGAGAGAATAGGCATTTGAAACAATGCAATCTGTTCTATTGTAGCAGTCGAAAGCCTTATGTATCTGTTCATTTCAAGAATTTGCATTGTTCACGTCGCACCTGAGTTTGTAACCTTTCAATTCCCCTTGAGTAAAGTACACCTTTTCTATTTACTGTTGAAGCATAATCTAAAGGGGCATTATTGAGAATTCTCACGCTCAAAATCCCATAGTTCGTTTCCCTTCGAACACATACATCTCCGTTACCTACCACGATGACGGGGCCACAAGAATTGGGCAAAGTTTGCTTATCTCATTGCCAGAGAATGTTTAATCGTTTTATTTGAAGTACTTGTTGTCGACAGTGAAGTACAGTATATAATATAGAACGCTTTTCTACCGAACCACGTTGGGAGCGAGATAATTTTGAACAAGTTGGAACTGTTGACCGCCGCTTTATTCATTCAGATGCGGTTGTTTCATCCTTGTGTTACGAATAGTGGGACCGCAGGTAACCAGTTTGGCTAGTGCACATTTTACGGGAACCCATTTGCTTCGTATCATGTAAGTAGCGGATTTTCCTCGCATGTATTTTGGAGAAAAAATCACTTTGTTCCGTTGCAATCAATCGGAGGATAGAAATCCATGGAATCAATGAATTTATTTAGATGGGACATCTAAAAAGCAAAAAGCCAAACGGAATTAGAATCATTAATCCGTCTAGCATCCAGTATTATTCATCAATTTTTCCGGTCTTTTAGGCATTGAGTTCATCACGATAGACTGCTGTCGAAGCATTGGTTCTTTGACTTGTAGTTGCCTATCTGACTTCTTGATCATTTAAAGTGAGACCATGATTCCTCAATTCTTCCAATCAACCACACACTCGAATCAATACACATAATGAATACATTCAAATCAATAACAAAGCTGAGCCCAAACCCTCGGAGATGATAGCACCGAAATGCAACATCACCATTCAACTCCTTTTCAAATGTGATGATGTAGGCCAACTCATACGAAGACGGTTGGTGGCGACTGTAGCTCGCACATATTTCGCTGCGAATCCTGTCGTTCGCGTCACTACAACCCAGAATCCGAAGACCTTGGTGAAATCACCGCTCCTTCTGTCCGCCAAATCGCATGTAATCTATCAATTTCAATGTGGGTACGGAGCTACCTTCGTGGGCAGAACAGAGAGGCGGCTGCGTACCCGAGTGGCTGAACACATACTGGTATGGATCAAACGCGAGCGGGTGAGATTGAGCGCTACACAAACAACCAGGCCATCAAGCCAGTCTCACAGAACACCTTCGTCAGCAATCGTTCGCCATCTGCTGCAGTCTGACCATCAAGCTGATCATGGGACTTTGATCCGGACTGCTTACCCAACCCAGAATGGATGGCTGCTAAAATTTGCAGAGGTCATGGCAAGGCCATAGCAGAAGGAGGTCTACATCAAACTGGTGTTACCCTAGTGACCACATAAGTGAAAGAATGAACTGATATCATGCTAGATTGTCATCAACTGTGATATACAACATCTTTTGGTTCTGCAGTAAACACCAGTTGAGCTGCAGCGAAATGATTCCGGAATTAAATCGTGCTCGCTTGCCGTCTTGGGTTCTTTGTTCAATGTCGATTATCCAACACCACTAATCACAAGTAACTGTGAGCTAAATGTGCGGCAACTAATAAGTAGTCACTCTCTGGACCAAGGGATAATAAAACGGTGAGTTATCCGGCAAACTGTTAGAAACTGTAGACAGGGTCAAATCGAGTTATAAATCAGTTTGATGATTGCATCTCTCTGACTGGTATTATCCGGTTTATGTGATCTCACTCTTAGATGGGGGAATATTGATCGGAGGTTTATCCCATTGGCACCAAGATGGTAGGTACTATCTGCCTCGCCCACTGATCTGGGCTTCAGTCTTAGTATGAGCAGCTCTATCGAACAAACTTCTAATAATGTCAACCAAATGGGCGTCAAATCTGGGACACAAATAGGAACCAAAACGCTCGGCACGATGTCTTCATTACATGCACCGATAATAGATAGACACTGTTTACCAGGCGTTGGTGACCCGGTGATAACGTCAGCATATTATTACTCGGGGATGTGTGTTCGAATCCCACCAACACCACTTGACTTTCCTCATTGTGTGTTGAATGGCAGCCCTTTGACTGGCCGATTCCCTCTTCCTGAACTTTTTACCATTGCATGTTCATTTAAAAGGAAGTAAAAGAGAAAGATATAGAATACAAAGATAAAAATGTTTTACTTTGCTCCCGACGGTTGTAGATAATTATGATGATGTACGCGAACCAAATCAGAGGAAAGCTAACAGAACCCTTTTCACTCGACACCAATCACATATTAACACGGGTTTCTGTATTTTGTATTTTCATTTCCAGACTATACAAATTCATGTTATGCGTTTAACACTGATGGATGAAACAATTCTCTGCCAGACCAAACACAGTGACAAGATAAACACAAGCAGTGTAACACTCGGGACAGTGCAACCTACTAATTGCCTCCCGAACATCCACCAAAAACAACACACAAAGTATTACGACACGCGCGCCGAACCGCACTCACTTTTGAGCAGACACGTAGTGCCAAAGCGTACATTCCGTCCGGTTGGAGAGCACGCCCGACCAAATGCGTCTCTTGCCCCCGTCCAATCTGATGCGTTTTTGCAACGCGACTTGTCGTATCGGTCAAGTCCACCTGTACCGATTTCAAATCCAGTCCTGTTGACGGTTGTAACACCCAATTCACCAAACAGTCGACTTGGTTCGGTGTAACATTGTTCTCGTCCCCGGCCGCAGTCCCGGCCGAATTTAGGCGTAATGCAAGCAATTCATAGTGTTCCGGATTTGAGCTAGCTCGGTGTAACACCGGACAACCGACGGACAAATCTCGTGTTCGTCTAACTGTTCCAATCACCCAGGGAGGTTGTACGACAAGTGCGGCTGTAACAAGGAAACCACACAATGCACTCAGAATGTGATCACGTCAAATGTATTGAGGATAATCACAAAAAGAATGTGAAATAACTGAAGCATGGTTATAGTAATGGTAATAATAATAGCAGTTTAACTGTTTTTATTAAATATAAAAATGTATAATAAATTTTCTCGAATGAGGAATCGATCAGTCAGAGAATACCTCCAGGGCACTTAAGCACGTACGGAAGTTTGACGAGGGATATGACCTTCGGGGTGGTGATTTTTCCAAGTCGTGTGTGTGGTTGTAAGAACACACATTAAATCAAATACATTGTGCTTGGACAAGTTCCTGTATATGGAGGTGTTCGAATAATCTAAGGAAAATCATGAATATCGCGTACGTGTCTTTTGATTCGGTCTGAATCCAAGTTTTCTCTGATCTCATGGGCGTGCTTGGACGGAAGCAGAACAATATCATAGAGCAGAATCCTCTAAAAACGATATACTGACCATAACGCAAGTCCCAAAACATGTCTATCTATAGATCCAACTCATTTAAGAGGCACATTTGCTCTCTCTCTCTCTTCACTCCGTCACACAAACCCAATCGTCCCATTATGCGCTCTTGATAAATCGAGAACTCTGCTATTCACTGAGGTAATACAATAAATCTTTTGTTTTAATTGTTTCGCCCGACTACGGTCACAACAAATAAAAAATATGCATAGCCTTCAACAATCACTGTTACCACGGTTTGCACTGATCATTTCATCCATACCACTCCTCATGAAACTCTGCTGTCGGATCAATCATCACTGGACGAAACTGTCCAGTCGTGTTTTGATCACACCCAGTCAACGAATTGCGGTGCAATAGAATAACCTCGGACGGTAACCAGTAATTCTTATTTATTTCTCCAAATACTTTTTCGGTTTCTAGCTAACTAGGCCATGTCCATTCTCCGGCCATTTTACGAGAACCTAATAGATGACCTTGCGATTGTTAAATATCTTTTCACCAAGTCAGAACTGCAATCGCCTGCTAGATCAACAAAAACAGTCACCAAATGACCCGGGGTTAACTGTTCCCAGACTGACATACCACGTCCGGGTAAGCAAGTGTTTCTCCGCTCTGCTACTAGGTGTAGACCGGTTCGAGGGACCAACAAAATACACGGCTATGACAATAATGATTGTATAATGATTGATTAGGTGATATCTTTGAATGTAACCGGATACAACGTATCGTGCGAAAGTTGTACAATGCCATGGATAGTGAGAAAGCCAGCCGCCTACATATTTCTCACCGGAATCACATTGCTGCTCACTCAGCTAGTACCGTTTTAGCTCATCTAAAAACAAGCAGTTATTGATGCACTAAGAACACAGTAGATGATCCCCTAGATCTTCTCAGGCTTTGCAAACAGGTTCGGGTTCATCTGTATCAACCTTTTCAGATAATAGCCAAGCCTAAGTTGTCTCCCGAATGACTGCTGAACCACTGCAACTGACTCCTGATTATGACACAGAAGAGGGCACTTGAGTTCCACACTAAGGCCGATGGGTAAGACAAAACTGCGGTGATCCGAGCGTACGAGATAACGCCTTCTCTGCAGCTACGAGTTACAGTTTTTGGACCAATGCGATTAATCGAACTTCACGGGTGACGTCAGCAACGCTCGTACGTGTCACTGCTTCTGACTTCATACCATAGGCAGATCGTAGCAGCCAATCAGAGACTGTGCGGCTCAGAAGCAGAATGATGTCAGCAATACTGAAAGGTGATTGGTAGTAACCCGGATAACCAATGCGCCTACGTTGTAGAAATTATTTACTCTTTATTTCTTCCAATAAAAGAATTACCATTTCTGTGGCCTTTTCCTCTCGTCTCAGTTACGGGGGATACTACGTGCTGGTGCAACTGCGGTCCAGTGCTTACGAGATCCAGTTCATGATAGCTGAACCTTGATTCGTGTTCCGAGCTCCGTGCGTAACTCTACTATTACTACAGCCATTACGAAAACTTACAAAGATGTTGACTCTGTTTGAGACTAAATGTCTCCAATAGTGCTTAACTATACAGTAAACCAGTGGTGACCGTTTCATATGTATGTACATGTGTTAGTGCATTCGAACCCCGGCAACCGCGCTGTAAATGCCCCTAATGCGTTTTATCGCACGATAGCAATTTCCCTTTCCCAAAAGCCGCTTGGACAATTATGTTATCAATAAAACGACCAGGTCTCGTGTTGAATAAAAGTCAGTTTGGTTCACATACAAAATTATTTGCTCCTGTGTGAAAAACTAGATGCAGTGGATTGTAAGATTTTTCTCTTATCGTGGGGAAAGCATTCCACCTCCTATGGGTGGATGGAACGAACCAAAGTTAGTCATCATCGTCATAGTACAGCGAAATACGGGGAAGTGAACTTTAATGATCGCTTCCAAACTCACAATGCGTGTGCACTGGGGTTTGATGGACGGGTACTGCTGGGTGTCTAGCCACTAAGCAGGAGAACGATTAGGGTTCTCAACCAAGCCTTCAGCTGTAACAAGAACCTAACTCCAAGGAGGCGGATGAAAACAAATACCGACATTTATTCGGATTGGTTACTCTATCAACATTTTTACCGACTGAAACGCAAATTCTAGTCGACCCCCCCCCAACTTGGAGGATCAGGAGACTGCACTTCGTCCGACCTCTACCTTTCGACCTTCCAGGCATGATTGGATCTGTGACTTGACAAAAGCCGTCCGTGTAGCTCGTTGCGTCAGAGGGGTGCACAAGCCATCACACCACGTCAAGGTGCAGTCACATCGTGATGTCGTGATTCTGAATCATCTGAGTGAGGTTCAGTTCACAAAGTGTGCACGACGCACGTCATCCTACTTGCAAGGTCAGGTTTGGAATCGTGTCAAGGAATCACATAACTGGCATTCACCCACAAAGCTCTCGTATTTTTGTCCAGCCAATGATATACCACTTATTGTAAAATATTCCACAAAGTCGCCTGGGTCGCGTTTGTTGCGATTAATAGCATTTGACCCAGCTAGAAAATATGGAATCATAGTGTTGATCCCTCAACGGTCTGGTCTTTAAAGAGCTGTCCAAACAAATTTACCCGGTGTTGAAAACGAGGTTCTTGTGATGAGAATAAATATCGATATATTCAAATACCACAAATTAGGTGTGATGTAGCCTTGATTTCGATCACCATGTACATTCGTGTGAATGGAATTTGAGGTAATACGCAGTGTTTCTTGCTCGATCCTCATGTTTAAAAAGTGGTTAAATCCTAAATCGTTTCCCCTGTGTATTTATCAAATAGACGGGGGTCTGTGGGCTTACAAAATGGCACAAGTTAAAAAAGGTTTATCGAATTCAGGCTTCTGACGGGAACCAAAATGATGGAAAAGCAGTCAGAATTTTCCGTGCTTTTCAAGACAACCAATTCTCTGTTGCAATCATTCAGAATCCTCAAATAGGTTTATTTTTATACGGTTCAAACGCGTCTGTATCCCTATCATCGCAAACACTAGATTCCGTTTGTGGTTACTGGGGATAATTACAATAGGTTTGTTCTGTCCGATAATCATAACTCATTCTGTAGGACTGCCTCTGTCCATGAATGATTGTATAGAAACCGAAAACACTTTCGGTATCAAGTAATAATATTTAGGTTCCGAATAGTCTTTGGACCACTGTCATCTTCTTAAGGCGCATTTGTTAACTAGGTTAGTTCTCATTCGTGCAGCAACAAGTTGTTCAATATGAGAAATACTCGATTTCAATGGATAACCCTCCCCCCCCCCAAAAAAACAGTCTACATACGTATACGGTGTATACCTGTGTTTATGAATTTACTTGACACATGTTGAGGAATACAATATTCGGAATGGTAACTGTATCCGATTCATGAAGTTATTTAGAATATACCTCAATAGAGAACATATCAGTCTTTGAAAGCATTTAAATCGTGTCTGCAACGATGTTCAAAGAACTCCTTCCTATCAACTTAATGTGTTCAAATAGGGACACAACAGCTCGAGAACGATTAATCCTCGAAGCTCTTCACTCGGTCAGTTCGCTCAACCGACACGTCGAGATAGACAAACACTAAGTCGGCGAGTGTACAAAAGGCTCGGTTGGCATTTGCCAACTTGAGACATTTGTGGTACCGTCGCGAAATCCGGCTGTTTATGAAGGGTCGAGAATAAGCTGCAGCAGTTCGGCCAGTACCGCTTTACGGTGCAGAGACTTGGCCACTACGGAAATAGGATACAAATAGATCATCGGTTTTTGAACACCGCTGTCTGCGTCGCATTACACGAATCTGGTGGGGTAACCGGACGAGCAATGCTGAGGTTAGGAGTAGTTTAGGTAGTCGCGGTAGTCCACTGGAGCAGGTAGTCCACCTCCACAGATTACGTTGGTTGGGGTATGTGTTACGCACGTCTTGGTCCAACCAATAGATAGGTTGCCACGGCGAGCGATGTTTGCCGAGGCAGGTGGGGGTTGGAAAAGAGTCAAGGGCAGCTAAACAAAGACCTGGCATGAGGGTATAAAAACCCTAACCAGGAGACTAGGTCACACAGGCTCCGTTAGACTCCCTGGATGAGAACATTGGGATTATGGTCACCGAGGGTTAGATACACCGAGTGATATGGCTGTGTGTCGCAAACAGTGGCGCTCGTGCATCCACTCATTATTCCCCTAACACCATTCTGTATGAATTCTCCATCTTCCGCTTGAGTTTCCTTTCAATATTCCAATCTTCTGCTCTTTTATCCAAATGGGGCACCAGAAGACATCAACTAAGACCGGCACACGAATGTGCATGGTTAATGGTTGTAAAAACTGAACCGAGCTGAACGTCGCACTCGCAAATGTTGAGAATATTTCCCCTCAGGCATCGCCATAGGACAAAATGCAAACAGTACATCTGGTGTTGTTGTTTTCGTCGTCAACTTACGTGCGTGAGGTGTAGAACAGGACACAGTGGTTGGGATGCCGTATAGATCAGTAAGGTCATTCAGTGTTGTCACCGAGACCGACCTGAGGACGGGTCTCACCGAAATCGTATAGATCGAATCAGACTCCATACCGTCAATAGAATGAATCACGTGACTTGGTGGGAGTTTCGGGTCCGGTATGGGGACGGAGGACTCCCGTGTGACGGTTTGCTGATTGAATGTATATTCACGAATGCGAGTGTAGTTAACCTGTATGCACAGAACGAATGGAAAGATTTTATTGTAATAATAATTCACGATTTTTCAAAGTATCTTGATCGATACAGATTTAGATTTGTGTCGATAACATGTGTGCAAATGTTTGGTCTGTTCAAGTTTCAAAATATTGGATTGTTAAATTGGAAGTTTGTTACTGGACCTGAAACAGTGTATGTAGAATAGTATGCGAGTTGTATTATTCTATGGGACAAACAATAACATTTTGTAGACGCCTGTATTCGTTCAATCTTCTCTTGTACCAAGAGAATGTTAAAACATGAAATTAATAAAGAATAAATTACGTCTATTATGCTATCTCCCTCTCCTAGAATGGAATAATTTTGAACTCTTCTCATCTGGTTCTCCCCCGGAAGATGTCTCCTAATTATCGTTCTTTTGGCATCAGCATGTATGCGGTATTGACTATATGCTCACTAGGAATGATTCTCAACGGACAATGTTTCCCCGGACAGTGCCTGGTTGGGTTTTGTCTCCCCAATACCAGTACTACCAATAATAACACTACCGTAAGACATTATCTTCTCGATATGGCGCCAGTGACCGGAACAATCAGGTTGCATTTCTCTTCCTTCTCATTCTCTCTCTCTCTCTTAGTCTATCATTTGTGTGCTACGCTTCATGTTTTACCCGACGGACGCATGAGGGTGGAGTAGTAGTGGTTCTCAGCTGACCCATATCTGAATCAATTCGTCCGTAAAACACGGCGGGACGAAACCGGTAGACGCATACATGTAGCAAGGTTTACCGCATCTCTTTGAACCATGCACGCCCTGTAGTGTGTGTTTGTGTGTGTATGTTTGTGGAGACATAATAAGTTGGATTGTATACAACATTGATTGTTAGTTAAACAGAGGGAAAATGTGTACAGGTTCATTCTGTTTTTTCTTAATGGAGGTTTCATTTTTGTCCACTTTGGTCTCTCTTTTCCGTTGTGCCAGTCGGCTGAAGGACATGTGTAGCACCATAGATCTCTGATCCCCACGCATTATTATTGTACATGGACTCGCATAAATCAGATAGATTGTTAGATAAGAATGAGCTACCTTTTGCCACTTACAAGCCCGGTTGGCAATTGTTTTCCTCAAGGCTGTTTTGGGTAACTCGTACTTATTCAGTTCTCCATCGATCATCGCTCTACGGAGGACCCGTTGGCGCCCACTCAAAGGTTGTCCATATCCCACTTCTTTTGATACTTGTCGGAAACGTATACGGCTTGAAAACTATCCTCATATCTTGCCTTACTTTCGCCGTACTGTGATACGGCTTTTGAAGTTCTCTTATGCCGGCTTTGAAAAAGTTATAAACATGTAATATACTCCAGTTACTAAATTTTTGGTGAATAAAATAGTGTTAATCAAAGACCATTAAACCAAGTTTGAACGCTGGCCTAGCAGTTCAGGAATTTAATGTGTTTTTCAAGGTACTCATTTTGGCAATGCGCAGACAATTACCAGAGAATCAATGGCTGCAACGCTGCTTCATATTTGGCCTGTTCTAATGGCTTAAAAATCTTCTTTGTCAGCAACTAAAATTAGATTTGTAATATCAACCCCGGACAATTGTATGTGGCTTTCAAAAGTGGTGCAGTCGAGGATAAAATGCTTGGTTATATCATTCAATGTTTACACGATCAATATCTGGATTCCAGACACGGGTTTTTGGAAGTTTGTTGTTATTCAGTGCAGTGCGGTATTACCTTAAGCCACATTTAACCAACTTTTTGGAAAACAAAATCATCGACACAATAATTTTCTAAAAAGAGTAATTTTCTGTCCGGGAAGTCACGTGACTCCTGTTTGTAATCTTCTCCGGGTCACTGCGATCTTCATCGGGAATAGACATTTCTACTGTGCGTGTGTTCGATTAAAGTCCGTTAAACTTACTCGGTAGTGTAACAAGCGGCCAACATGCATCCCTCGTAACAGTCTAGGCGGTGTGAACCAGGATAGCTGCGCATTCCATCGACCGGTCTGTGCGGTGTACAATAGAGAACAGGTCAAATTGTTCACCGCGATCTCACTGCCAACGGAGGTGCGTTGGGCACGTACTGCGTCGGACCAAGTCCCCTCATGTTCCAGACGATCGATTGCACTCACACGAACTACGTAATCCTTCGTCGGATCACAGTTGGGCTGGAAAAGTGAAGAGGTGAAGAAAAGATGTCCGGGAATTGTCTAACAAAAACCAATATGAAAAAGCAAATTTCTGTTTGTTCTAAACTCATGATAGGAGCACATTTGGAGGGTGTTTATAGACTACAGATCTTTTCCTTGAAGAAATGAGTTGTTTGTTTGGGCTTTAAAGTAACCGATAATTCTTCGCCAAAAGTAAAACTGTGATAAGACTGGTATCAGTTTAGTGGTACACCAAAAACGAATCCTTTTCAATACCACAATCATGCCCTCCTGGGCGCATTTATCCCGTAAACGCAATCTTTGCGCTGCGAATCTGCATTTAGCTCCTATTCGTTTATTCACATATATTCGTCAAATTTTCGTCTACTGTATCTTGGTATCGTCAAATCTTTGTAATTGCACCACCTTTTACGCACGATGTGGTTTTTCCGCACCGCGTAAAGTCTTTCGTCTTATCACTCACTGATCCACACGGATGATTCAACCACTCACCTATCACCGTATGATAGGCTTTTTTCCGTTGTTGCCGCGTATTGCAATCCTATGATCGAGTGGCACGATTTGGTCCCTTCCGCTTTTTCATCAGATCCGTTCGCAAACGTTTAGTCATCCCTTATCAGGTGAATGTGAAATCTAACCGATGGGCGGCGTTCAAAGCTTCTCATATGGTCAAGTGGTTACGGTCACCAACTTATCGCCCAGATTCATTCCCTGAGTATTTACTCTCGTCCCTCGCCACCCTTGCGTCGCTTAGCTTTTTCCATGTCTTTGTATCATGTGGCAGCCCTTTGATTGACCGAGTCCAACTACCCGTAAAATGGTTTCTACAGGAAACTTTCTAAATATGCATGTATTCGTTAGGAAGGAAGCAAGTCAAAACTTTTATTGTCTCACGTACAATGAAATGGTGCGCAGTCCATTCAAACTCAGTTTAACTCGTGTTGATAATAGTTATTTGTATCTAGCTTACAATTATCTGTGAGTTGTGGTGTGGGACAATTGCCATTTATTGATCTGAGTACACGACGGATGAGCTCTAATAAGAACGAAACTCGAATCTATTGCTTCCGAGTGTATGTTTGAATCGATGAACTGAGGATTATGCGTGAAGGTGAAGTCCGAAGGAAAGTCAGTTCAAATCAATAAATATTTATTTAGTTCATCGTGGAATCGATAAACTCTGTATTTATATGAATGTCCACCGTACATTGATTGGATTTTCTGATTAAGGTATTTACTACTTCACCACACATCATGCCTAGATTTCATCTTTTTCAGATTGAAGTGAATAAGGAGACCTCAACTCTCCTCTCACACCGTGATTGCAACTTATCCATGTTTTGATAAAACAAAATGATTTAAAATGAATACTCTGTGGTGACGCCACAAATGAGAAACAATAATTTTTACGTGGATATCTCCTAGGTATTGCAGAAGGAGATTACAGGACACTGATTCAACGACTATGGTCTCATGACTACGGGAACCAAATTAACTGGGAAATTTGCACGTTTGTGGCAAATCGATGAAACGCGAAACGGGAAATTAGCAGCAGAACTGCTATTATTCACTGAAACTATGTCAGTTGTATGGTTATTCACTTGGTTTCCATCCCCTACCTTGGGAATAATTTACTACACGCCATGGAAACTTAAAAGCCTCACGTGATCAACACAATCTCACGAGTGTTTGTGTGCATGCATGTGTGTGCATATGTGATGCGTGACAGTCGCTAAGTAAACATGGAATCGGCCGTGGAATACAAGACATCAGTGAATGGGTTTCAAGATTGACGTGCCAAGCCTAAGATATAAAGAGGGAGAGAGAGAAAGGAAGATTCATGGCACCAAAGACAAGAGAGGTTTGTTCGGGAGGATGAGTCATCACGCTCAGGTTCAGTTCAGTCTTCTTTTCATTCCATAAATTGTCGTTTTGTCAAAAATATGAGCTTATCTCATGTGTCATATTTCAATATGAAACAACGTTCAATAGCTGGTCAACAATCAGCCCCATAAAGTAGGTTGTATATCGAATTGCACAGCACCTACTTTTGTTCTGCACCATAAGGGCTTTCGAACAGATGTGAATAAATAGATCATATATTGAATTGGACGAATAGATTTTACGAGATATACTTCTTCTCTTGCAGCTGAATAGCGTTGAGATAAAACAGCAGAATTTCATTCTTATAATCCTCCTCCGCTTTACATCACAGCGCAAAAGCATGGACTCTTTTTCTATGTCCACAAACACCAAAGCTAAAGTGACAGTATTTCTCGCGGAAAATTCGTCCCTCATGGACGAATAAAGTTCATTCCTGACTTTACTTTACTGTATGAGGGTGAGTATAACTTTTATAAATATTGTTTTCTGCATTTAATTCAGTATGTAATTTCTTTCAAAAAATTATCCATCACTTACGTTGTTGCATCATTGTGTGTGTGTGGGGGGGGGATTCCAATGAACCTGTGTGAGTGGNGGGGGGGGAGTGAACCTTATTCAGTTGTCCAGTTTCCACGCGTAAGAATGTGACATTTTATGCTCGTTTTTCTACACAGACACGTTTCGTTAAATTGTTTTTTTTGCCCATAGATTTGAGCGCTTCATTACAGTAATGAACTACCGAACTAGACCTAATTGGTTCCCTCTTTCGTTTTGTTCAATTCCATCAGACAAACTCTAGCGTTTTCCAAAGCTTCTTCACAATGATGGCGGTGGCGGTAGCCGTAGTAGTAGTAGTAGTTGCATCAAAGAGGAGCACACGAAGAACAAGATGAATAGACAATCTCCCCGCTTGTGTGTCTGTAGGTGTGTGTTTGTGTTTGTGTAAAGGCAATGCTCTGATTTTTGACAACTTATGTACTCTAAGCACACTGCCTTCCGTCCGGTTCACGGTTCATTGCTCTTGCTCGACAAGTGCCGGGACTGACATTCGGACGTCAACCTAAACTGTGGTCGGGACCCGGTTCTTTCATGTCTACCTCGGGATTACTAATCCCTCTCGGCCTCGCTCCCTCTCTCTGCGTGTGTGTGTGTGTGTTGGAAGCCATTAAAATAGACAGGGTCACACACCCACACCATATTGCACTCAGCTTTTCGCATGATCGCCCGCATTCTTATCGGATGAAACGGTCACCGAGCACGGATTTGGAATAAATTTTCACGCTTCCGCGACTCGTCTGCGGCACGCCTGTCGTATGCGGTCAGACTTAATCCAAACCCAACCACCCACCCACCTATCTTGTTTCACGCGATTGTCTAGGCAGCCCACTTTGTTTGTCTTTTGGTTGATTCACGCATCTGGTTACAATAGAAAGAAAGACGGTCGCAGTAGTTGTGGTTGTTGTTGTTGTCTTGGTTCCATGTTCAGTTTGATTCTTTTATCTTTTCCCACCCCGTCAAGCTTCTTTTCGAACACCGCTGTGTTGAATGCGATGTACAGATTCGGTTGAAAAGATAGTCGTAAATGTTTAACTGTGTTTTAGGATAGTGGAGACGTATCACACGCACACATAGGTACACAAACCGAGACACACTACAGATTCAGAATCTATCAATAGAACAATTTTTCTCATCGACCACTATACTACCCTCATTTCGGATGGCTCTCTTTCAGGGGTTTTGGTCCTCGTCCGAATATTCTCAACTCGAGACAACCTCCCTACCCCCACCCTGGCCCAGATGTGTACCAACTACGGTAAAACAACTACGCAGTGCTCTATGTTGGCGACTGCACCTAAACGTGTTTGAGCAGCACTTTGGTATCTTATCGGTGTTCTGTATGTATACGATACGGACGATATCGAGAGTAGGTCATCGAGCATGAGGATTGTTCTTTCAAAATCAGCTATCTATATATTTTTACTTTGGTTTGAAAATAAAAGATGAACATACTAATGCTAGGACCATTGTACTAATTTACTTTCTAACGGTCAATCGGATTTTGATGGCTCAAATGTTGTCTATTCGATAAGCTAAGCTCATCAAAATGAACCTACAGTTCTAATAAGGTTTGGTAAGTTGATTGGGGCCAGTGATTTGTATGTACCACTTCGTCACCTCAGAATAAACGGAGTTAAGGATTCCTGAATTACATGACTCTGTTGCACAAAAAGAATGCTAATACGACTGCTGCCGCGAACATTTGTTCTTACAACCAAACCGATCAATTGTTTTGATCTTTCCACGGTCCAAGAATCTCTACATGAGTTAGAAACCCAATCCTAGCTGATAAAAGCATAACGACACTTAGATTTGTTGTTTAAATTACTGGAGGCAAAGAAATGCTGGTTTATAAAGACGAGTACCACCATATAGTGCGTGGACAAGATTAAATAGTTTACTTAATTTATTCGCCTGTTGTTTCATAGTGAACAGATTCTTCATACTCTGATTGGATAGAGACGAAGCCCAGAAAACATATGTATGGATCGTTTCGGGTCGATCTGCGTTAGATAGAACGATAGGTTACTCCATCTGCCCATTTCATCAGCTTTATGTTAAGAAAATGGAATTCGTTTGTTTCCTAGATTTGAATTAAATGAAAGTTAATAGCATCTTGAGCTTAGTTAAAAGATTCCAATATTCTTCTGGTAAGACATTTCGCTTAAAACGGTTGAAAGTGTCGTAGAGATAGCAACAATATAGCGGAATTTGTTGTGTAATGGCCCATTTTCCAGTTTGGAGACAGATACGTCTGCTAGCAGTGGGAGCAGAGGCAACCTCACGGCTACACACCGTCCCTTTGTCAATAGATCTCATTGTTGGATAAGAGTTTGGCAATAAAATTTCATCGGGAGAGGAGGAGTAGTTTCGCAGTTATCATTGGGATTGAAATGTATATATTTCCTTTATCGATGAACTACACTATATGTAATATACTGTATACGAATACTGTACTTTACCATAGCTTCGAATAGCCGGATGTTCATGAATAACGGCTGGGGCCCGTTCAAGAATTCTTTAGCATCCACTTCTCAAACAACTTCGTCAAACTGAAATGCATCTTTCAGGCTAAATCGTGAAATTTTCTTTCTCCCCGGCTCCAGGATCTCCATTGGCGATCGAACGCTTGAATAACAAAGAGAATTTCTCTAATTTATTACTGGTCATAATGTTTTTCCAGTTTTGTGAATCTTCGGCGGATCTCACGTTTGGTTTAAGCTGTTCATAGTCAAACATGGATCGTTTCTTAAAGTACCATGATAAATGGTCCCATTTTTCATCCGTTATGAGTCTACGATTGGCGTCAACTTTTATGCATAATCTCTTCGGTTCAGTAAAACTATCTCCCCGAAGTTATCCGGTTTTGAACTTATAAACTCTATATTTGGTCTCCGCTGCCTTGAGCAGATAGCACTTTTCTGACTTAATGGTAAGCAATATGACATATAGTTTCGAAAGTATTGGAAACAGTCATTACAGGAATCGATATACATCCGATCTACCAGATTCTAGCCCCAAATTTTGAATGACTGGGATGGGGAAAAAGTTGGCTTACATGAGTGGAAGTCGTTGACTGGTGAAGTAGACTACCTTCTTGATAAAGTTAGAAAACAACAGAGCAGAACAATTCTACAATGGAGCCCTGCTTGGAAACTCTTGTCACTGTCAAACTTTACTTTTCCATCTACAGGTATTGACCAAACTCGTACAACATCCTGATTTTCATTACATTTGTTGCTCTCAATGCTTCGTTTTTACAGCCTTCTTCTTCTACTTCTATTAGCCACATGCCATTAAAATGTACGATTTCTCGATTTTGACGATGGTTGCTAGTGCATCAGTTGTAAAACAACAAAGTCATAGTAGAAAACGTAACTAGAAATTATTTATTAAAATGACTCATAGAGTTTGCATAGGTATTGCACTTTCATCTCATCCATGTTCCATTTGCCCTTCTTCATTTTTGAGCACTGGAAGTAGTCACTTTGGCATGGAGTTCACCAAATGACTGCCAAACAGAATTTGCAAGTTTTCTCTGATAAATCGTATACCCTAACCACCGAAGAACAATATCGTGGTAGCTAACTTATCCCAATTTCTGATACAGGTAAACAATTTCGATTAAATTAAAATCCCAGCTGCTGCGCGGTGATTGAATGACTCTGACATTTAACTTGATCCCTCCAGATACTGTATAAACGTGAAAAATGATATTTAATTAAGTCTAAAGGGTTTCTACTGCAAACCTCAAGCAAGAAGACATACCAACCTTCATCTGTGAAAAATGTGACTCCTGCAATTGCATTTGAAGAGTAGCAGTTACCGAAAACCTCTCTTATCAGTGCAAAACATTTTGCGATATCCAGATTGGTGTGCGCAGCAGACCATTAACAAGGCACTCGGTATTCACTTCCGTTCTAGCTCATCAGGCGGGATGAGAATTAACTTCTTTTGACAGGTGAAACAAAATTCATCAGAAAACTAGATTAGTAAATCATCTTTCACTGTATGCTGAATTACTCGTTGGGCACCAGCGAGATAAACCCATGGCCGAATGAACAGGCAATACCATTGGAATCTGTTGGTAAAATCAATACGTCCTCTGTTTTGTCGGGCGTTCCATAACGGCTTCATATTTCGTGGCCTCAGCTGAACTTTAAATTGAACCATCATTTTCCAAACGAAGGCGTGAGGAAAAAAAGGTTAATCAGCCCAGACTATCCTCCAGATTGGTTTTGTGCAACTGTTCTCTACCGCGATCAAATACAACCAATTTCTTGCTTTGATGTAATCGGTTTTATTCCTTTCGGTTTATGTTTTGATGGTGAAATTTCTTTGAATATGCAGCAAATTGGACTTATGTTCACATCGAAGCAATTCCAAAAGATACCAAATGAGTCATCGGATTTATGTGCTTCTGGATTAAGTTGCCTCTAGGCTTCAATTATATGCCGAAACCTTTTGAAATGGTTCAACCGGTTTGGGTATGGTGACACTACAAAATGCTTATTTTACCAGCCGCACACCTCAAGGTCAACTTTCGAAGATCAACTTTTACGTTTCTTAGACTATGTTTTCAGTTCTTTCAGTATTGTGGATAACACGTGAGTAGTTCATAGAGAAGTAATTTATCAATTTATTTAAGTTAGAATATTTTCATAAATTTGCTTATTTACTGTGCACTGAACGAGAGGAGATAAACAATTTAGAATACGTGTGCTCAACTTAGTACAAACTCTCATGGAGAAACAATAATTCATTAAAAAGATTGAATTCGCATGCTGCTTTGCTTAAAATATTTTCTAAATGTGAGTTGTAACTTTCAAACTATTGGGAATTTTATCGCAACACTCAAGGTCGCACAAATTCAAACGGTGATAGATGAGAACTAAGAACGTGGAAGTAGGAGATAAAATCAAGAATAAATGTACTTTACCCGTAGCCATTAACATACAAGTATGATATTGGAGATTGAAATCTATGTTCAAAATGAGTGTGATGTTGCACGAGTTTGAGCAACACCTATATATATAATGATCTGTGTAAGTTGGACTGCTTACACACAACCCCTGTGATACGTTAAACATTCATCGAATTGCTTGCGGTTCTTGCATGGATGAGCATCTATCTGCAAACGTGTGCGCACGTTAGAAACAAACAGAAAACTACCACGAGTTGAACGCCAGCCCTTTCAGAATACCCGGTGTGAGTGAACTGAATCAATCCATCCACGTGTAAAATGTGAGTCAGCATCTTTGTCCACACAAGTGAGGAAGCTCCTTGTATGCGTAATACTCAACTCACCTTGAACTGCCAGCGTATGATTGAAGTCTCGCCCAATGCCCCATAGTTTTGATTAAATTGCCTTCAGTAAACGCCCATCAGAATGCGAACTGAAACTACAACTTTGCCGCGTAGTTTCAACTATTAGTCAGGCATTGATTAAATTTCAGCTGTTATCACACGAACTCGGTCAGGATTGTACCAGATAATTCAATACTACTGAAAGATGGATTCAAGGACTTTAGGACGATATTTTTGATTAGAACAATCACTAGCTCCTGCTGGTGACCAAAATTACACAATCGGATCTATTGTTCTGTCAAGCGGCTCAAGTTTTGAGGTCAGAGGTTCAAATTCCAACCCCACTACCCAAATTTCCTGGTGGGAAGTTTTGTTGTTGTCGTCCACCTGGGTACCACCCTATCTATCTTATGGGGGCCTAGTTAAGTTTGATAGCCCTAGTTCCTAGTTTGTCCCCTCTTAGGACTGAACAGCGGATACTTTTGACCATCGGGTTCACACGCTCTATTGCGTTCAGCACAGAGACAGTCAGCAATGCTTTGAGCAAGGTCATGCACGGCATACGACTGTGTTGCATGTGTGTGTGTTTGCATCTTACCGTTCGCGTGTTGTAACCAAAAAAGCTGATGCAAAAAATTGGCATATGCATCGATCATGTGTGCCGAAAGAACGGTTTCCATTTGACCGGCTCACATCTCAATCTCGTATGTCCAAAATGCCTTTTCATTGTCAAGACCCTGGATTCCGGTGTTTATTGACCGGTTCATACGCAGTGTGGCGCATCTAAATTAAAAGGTAGCTGACAATAATAACTTCTGTTCCATCGTCCTATCTAGCCTCATAATGTTCCAGATTAGATGAGAATTTGAACACAGAATATATGCACTCAGAAACTGTTGTTAGACGACAGCGCAGCATGTATAGCGGTCATGCCGGGTTAGACTTATTGATCAGTTGAGGATGAATTCATTTGCGGCAACAGCTAGCTTCGGATCTCGATAGTTCGATTGAGGTTCGAATTAAAAGACGGAACGTGTGATTCAGTGTGTTTTCCGTTTATCTTTTGTGAGTGCTGTGATGATAGAGTGATGAGGTTTACAACGAGCTTGCAGATCCGGGTTGTTCCAGTTCGTGCAAAGACAACATTAAAAAAAAACGTTTGATGAGCTACCCCGTGGTTAAACGGGGTAGAACTCTTGCGTAAGTTCTCGAATTGAGGGATTAGCACTGCTGATGAGACACAGTTAGGTCAAAACATTTGCACAGTGCCTCCCAGCCCTTCAGTTCACGTCTCGTTTGCTTTGTACGCCACGAAAATTAAGGCCAGTCGGTGGATGTGCTATTACGTGTCCACGTAACACAAAAAGCAAGCCTTTTCCGTTATACATTATATTCTGGAATTCAGTGATAATAGTAGCCGTCACCAACCGAAGACCGGTCC